ACTGCTAGAGTATGCATTCTCAGAGGGGGTAATATTCCCCCAAGGGAGTAAAATTGCTTCCAGATGTTTAGGGAGGGGTTAAATATTACAGTGGGCCACAGTACATACATATATACAATATATTTGTGGTATTAAAAGTAATGAAAGGGTAATTAGGAAAGAGGCATGTGATAAAGAGGGCATTGGCAATACGGGTATTTTTTTTTTAAGATTTTATTTATTTATTTGAGAGAGAGAGAGACAGAGAACACAAGCAGGGCAGAGGGAGAGGGAGAAGCAGACTCCCAGCCGAGCAGGGAGCCCAACTCGGGGCTCAATCCCAGGACCCTGAGATCATGACCTTAGCTGAAGGCAGACCCTCAACTGACTGAGCCACCCAGGTGCCCCAATATGGGTATTCTTTTACTTAATCTCAGCAGTGGATAGACCGGTGTTCTTAAGCATCTGTTTATTGAATGCTACTTTAAGGCAAAGTCGCTGTGCTACGTGCTGAAGGATATATCTGTAACAAGGTTTAAAGCTTCATCTCAGTTATCACAAGGAATGACCGGGGAGCAGGAAGGGAATGGAGGGAAGGATTACAGGGGGGGTGAGGAAAGCTTTGATAGGAATATATTCACTATCTTGGTTGTGATGATGTTTTTACAGGTGTAGCTATATTAAAACTTATCAAATTATACTTTTTTAAAATTTTTTTAAGATTTTATTTATTTGACAGAGAGAGAGTACAAGTAGGCAGAGAGGCAGGCGGAGGGAGAGGGGAAGCAGGCTCTCCGCTGAGCAGGGAGCCCGACGCGGGGCTCGATCCCAGGATCCTGGGATCATGACCTGAGCCGAACGCAGCCGCCTAAACGACTGAGCCACCCAGGCGCCCCTCAAATTATACTTTAAATATATAGTTTATGGTATGTTGGTTATACCTTAGGAACACCTTTAAAGAGAGAGATTGGGCATATACCCCAGGGAAAATGAAAATTTATTTTCACAAAGAAACTTGCACACAAATGTTCATAGTAGTTTTATTCATAATAGCCAAAAAACTAGAAATTGTTTAATGACCTTCTTTGAGTTGAAGGATCAAACAAACTTGGTATGTCCATACTATGGGACACTACTCGGCAATAAAAAGGAACAAACTGTTGATACGTGCAACAGCTGCAATGAACCTCAAGGAAATTACGCTGAGTTTAAAAAGGCAATCTTAAAAAGATAGGTGCTGGGGCGCCTGGGTGGCTCAGTCAGTTAAGCCTCTGACTCGTGATTTTGGTTCAGGTCATGATCTCAGGGTCCTGGGATTGAGCCCTGCATTGGGCTCTGTGCTTAGCGGGGAGTGTGCTTGAGATTCTCTCTTCTCCCTCTGCCTCTCCTCCTGCTTGTGCCCTCTCTCTCTTTCTCTCTGTCAAATAAATAATCTTTTTTAAAAAAAAAGAGACGTGCTGTATGAGTCCATCATATAATATTTGTGAAATAACATGTTAGAGAGCTAGAGAACAGGTCAGTGGTTGCCAGAAATCAGGGATGAGGAGAGTGGATATGGCTATTATGGAGCAGCACAAGGGAGTCTTGTGGGTGGTTCAATTAAGCATCTGATTTTGGTGCTGGTTACATGAAGCTACACATGTGATAAAATTGCATAGACCTCTACACACACACACACACCCAAATCAGTTCATGTATAAATGGTGAAATCTAAATAAGCGCTGTGCTTTGTACCAGTGTTAATTTCCTGATTTTGATATTTACTATAGTTATGCAAGATGCCAACATTGGGAGGTACATAGGACCTCTTTGTGACTTCATTTCAAAATTAAGTGTTTGAGAAAAAGACCAGTGACTAAACTAGTACCTCTAGTGTCCAGATTTTGTTTTCTAAATACTTTCTCCTCTCATTTAGGGATGGGGTAAGGAGACAGGGCTTTTGGGGAAGATAGGTATGCTTCTCCAGGTCTGGGGCGTGAAATATATAAGATAAACCTTAAATGGTTTGTCACAATAGAAGCCAAAGAAACTAGCAAAATTATCAAAAACCAGTAGGTCATGCCAAAAGGACTTAGGATGTGATCTTAACTGGCCAAAGATGGGATAATTTTAGCATCACTAATGATAATTGCAGTGAAGTAAAACACATTGAATATTTTTAAAGCCGTGTCTTCATAATAATAATTTATTAAAGTTATAATTAGGCATTCTTTGGAGGTTTCTAGGGAAAGAACTCAGTTGGGAAACTAGATAAAAAGGGAAAGAATTAACCATTTATCTTGCCTTCCTTATACAAACTATACCTCAAGGTAATTAAATAGTCGACTTGCAAGGTTTCTTTCATAGAATTATTCCAGCTAATGAAAAAGGAATGATAGAATTCCTTGTTGAGAATAATAGGAAAAAATAGAAAAAAATCTCGAGTTTTTGCATCCTCTAATAGATTTAGGCATTTATCATCATAGACCTGTTAACGTTAGTTTCCTGGGGCTACTGTATAAATTACCATAAACTGGTGACTTAAAACAACAGAAATTTCTTCCCTTTGAGTTCTGGAGCCCAAAAGTCAAAATCAAAGGATCAGCATAGCTGCATTCCCTCAAACCGTTTTAGGGGAGAATCAGTCCTTGCCTTTCCCAGCTTTTGGTGGCTGCAGGCATTCTTTTGCTTGTGGCCACATCACTCTAGTCTCTGCTTCCATGGTCACATTGGCTCTTCTTCTGGGTTTTCTTCTATGTGTCTTTTATACAGATACTTATCATTGGATTTAGGGCCCATCAAGGGAATCTGGAATGATCTTAAAATCTTTAACCTAATTACATCTGCAAAGGTCCTTTTCCAAATGAGGTAACGTTTACAGGTTCCAGGGTTTAGGACATGGACATACCTTTTTAGGGACTACCATTCAGCCCACTCTAGTGGTTAATATCATAAAAAGAGGTAAGTCAGAGGCAGCCCTCCTCATGGAAGTAAACATCACATTGCAAGAAACAAAAAAACCCTGAATGAAATCAAGCATCAACTTACAGGACATACAGGAAACAGAACACTACAAGGATGCAGTCAACAAAATTCAGGCTGTGGGAAATGCTACAGGACAAAAAGAAAGTTTCTTCAACAAATAAACTACAAGAGAGAAAAAAAAAGAGATGGAGGAAGGAAGGAGCCTATATATGAAAAGAAACCTAAGCAACATCATCCATGTGTACTGTGGGGGCCTTATTTTGATCCTGATTTGAAAAACTTAAAAATATTAAGCAGTCAGGGAAATTTGAACACTTACTGGTTGTTTTATAAGCATTTATTATAAATTTTAATATGGGTAGGGTTTTTTTTTAAAAAGTCCTTGTCTTTTAGCTATCATACTGAAATATTTATGGATGAAATGAAATGTCTGGGACTTGCTTCAGTACAGGGGGTGGGAGAGGTAGGTGGGTTTATTGTTGTCTCTACTTTTATGTGTGTTATAATAAAGTTAAAAATCTAAAAAGGTTGTAACTAGAAGGGTGATCCTCTTAGCTTTTTCTGCGTGGTGATTAGTGAGACTCTCAGGGCTGTGTCAAGGAATCCAGGAAAAGAAAAAAATGCATTTCCCTTTAAGAATATGTTTACTCAACCAGCCTTGCCTGACAAAATTCTCCCAAGCTCTCCTCATCCCATCTCACCCCATCAGTCTGGATTAAATAACACCCTCTTTTGTGTTCTCCTAGTACCCACTACATACATACTTCCACAGTATATTTAATTGTGTACTGTCTGGTTCTCCCACTTACCAGATTATAAATTCCTTGAAGATGCTGACCTTGTTTATTTATCTTTATTCATCTATATATTGTCCTCACCCAATGCAGTTAACATTGGGCTTGGTAAGCTCTCTCAATAAATGGTTGTTGAATGAGCGATAGGGAACTGGGTTTGTGCTGGTAAATAAAATGTAAAATATAACCCCTACTTTCTCTGTCTCTTCAGTAAACCCTTTTCCCAGGGCTACTAAGGTATAGCTACAGAGCGTCTTTAAACTTTTTTCTTCTTCTTCTGCCCATCCTCTGGCAGAGGTGCTAATGAAAGATACGTGAAGGGTAAGCACTGTAGCAACGTGGAAAATGGGTTTCTGCACAATCAAATGTCATTGATTTCCACTCTTTCCCAGGGTGTATACTGCAGTGGAGTCTTCTCAGATGGCTGTCTTTCTGTACTATATGTTTTGCTACGTTCTGTGTATCAGAGGTCCCTTTCTGTATGAATTCCTTAGTATGCTTTAAGATGGTAATTAGAATATAACCTCCTAGGGGCACCTGGCTGGCTCAGTGGAGCACGCAACTTCTCGATCTTGGGGTTGTTGGTTCGAGCCCCACACTGGGTATAGAGATTACTTAAAAATGAAAAAAAAAATCTTAAAAAAAAAAAAGAATGTAACTTCCTAGAAATGATGCCAAGAAGTACTATAAAAAACTGTTTTGTGGGGTGTCTGGCTGGCTGAGTTGGTAGAGCATGCAACTTTTGATCTTGGGGTCATGAGTTCAAGCCCCACTTTGCGGCTTTAAAAAAAATTGTTTTAATACTATTTTGTGCTATGGATGGGGTTATCTGGCAGTTTCCTAGTGGATGACCATCTCTATATAGTAGACTTTAAGAGGTCTACAAAACTTTATAGCTGAGAGAGACCTAAGGGACTAATGTGCTTCCCTGTTTTCATCCCACTGCCCCCATTAAAAAGAGCAACTTTTTGTATAATTGCAATCTTTTTGCTGTCTTAAAATATTGCATATTATCTAGTCCCAAAATCGGGGCTAGTTTCTAAACTAGTGCTTTCCATATTTAGACTATTGAGAAAATAGGACACATAAGTAACAACTGTTATCTAAAATGAAAAAATTGTGTACTTAACATTTTCTTTTGATGGCAGTGTTGGATGATTTCTCATTTTTGGAAAGCAGCAGAATAAATCTTAAATTTTAAAATATAATTACTGGACATCGTAACCTTATTAAAGGCTTAAAGATACTTTATTTTCTCTTTAGGTGGTACGGGACTATAATCTTCAGCTGTTCTTACAAGAGAATGCTGTATTCCACAAGCCCCAGCCCTTCCAGTTCCAGCCCTGTGACAGTGATACTGTAAGGGGATTCCATATTTTCATTCCATTTGTTTTTAAACTATGTTTGTGCTCAAGTAACTATTATCCTTGGAACAGGCAGAAAAAGCTCAGTGCATCTCCTTAATTTTATAACAAAACTGTGAGTATGCAGAGAAACTGACATTTCTCCTTTCTAAAATGTGACTAAAACCCAGTATTTTTATGTCAGCAATTTAACTGAGGTTAAGTTATAAGACATGTAACTAAAAACCTGCAAACTGAACAGAAGGAAGAAGGAAAAATACTCAATAAAAATTTTTTTCAATTCCAATATAAATTATACTTTCTATCTATGAAATTCTTCACATGTACACACTTCCAAAGAAACCAGTGGTTAAATTTTAACCAGAATAGAATCAATAAACAGAACGGTGAAATATGTGCCTGCACATATTTTGGTTGGCTTTATAAAAAAAATTACAGGCCCTTTATAATTCCTTTCAGATTTCTTAGAATGTCAGAGTATTAACATAAATGCCAAATTGACAATTTTTAAAAAGCAGACATTAATCATGCATTTTATCATTGAGTTTATGAAGAATGTTTGCCATTATTTGAATTTAAAAAAATAGAACCAAAATGCTAATTTGATAACATAAAAAAAAAAGACAATCAACTTCTACAAGTTAAGAAAGCACATGTTGGCATATCTAGCACATTCTTTCAATATAGGCAAGCCAAGAGGGAAGTCAAATTACATTCATAAGGTCTTTTAGTAAGCCTGGAATCAGAACCAGGGGAATTTATATCAGAGTTTCATGGTATCAGTTTAATAGAAACCTTTGCTGGAGATTTTTCGTTACTTTTCTTACATTTTAAGGAGCCCTGTTCGTGGCTATATAAAGAAATGTAGGAAATCAGCATTTACCTCTAGATTATAACTTTTGCCCTTTATATGTGCTTTTTTTTTTAATCAATCCACTTTTGCTTAATGATTGAGCAATGTTGTCCTATAATTTGACTCCTTTACCTGAGAGGAATGAAGCAGAGCATTAGAAGATACAGGGTGTAGACAGGTTCACCAAGCTTGACTTAAAATTGCGACCAATTTATCTCTGCCCATTTTCCTCAGAAAAATCAGAATAACAGTAGACTCTCATCTCACTTGTCCAAGGCCCAGCTATAATCCTAAATCCTCCTCTGTTTCTAGACACTGTGTTAAATGTTCTTAGCTGCATGTCCCTGTTTGCCTTAAAATTCTAACTATGCTGTTTTCTGTCCTTGTGCAATCTTTACTGGGCAGAGTTTAAAAGCTGCCCAACTGGTGGATATTGAGCTCTCCCCTGTCAGTGCTCTGAGAATGACCATAGCTGAGGTATATGGGGGTGTGGGTCAAGGGTGGGGGAGATGGGATGTGTGGGTTTGCATGTTAATGAAGGGTGGAACCTAGTATTGGGATTAAAAATGTGTGTGTGTGTTTGTAGGGGGCCACTGAATGCGTAAACTGGGGCTTTCCATTTTCCCATATAAATTAAGGATTTTCTTTCCTATTTATAGTGAAAGGATTGAACTTCTTATTTTTCACCTTGTCTAAAGCACCTTAGTTTTCCTCGAGAGGCATGTTGGAAAGAATTTATAGAGCTAATCTCGCCTTTGTCAAAGGGAAACTGAAGCCTTTTTTAATATAACCCATTTCAAATTGTAGTATTTTTCCTGCAAAAGTCCAGAATGCCCAGATGAAAACATACAGTCACAATATTACTGTCAAAGTTAATTAAGGCTTAAAGTGATTGTATCCATTTTGGTTTTTTGGCTTATCTTTACTTGCTGATGAATTGAAATTTCTTGTCATTTTATTTTAATATATGATTATTTTGACTCATGCTTTAGAGTGATATACCAAAAGAAACTGGCCAAAACGGTTGTATAAAGACACAATTATTTCTGTTTTGTACAGCCATAGAATTAGATTGGGAATCTTAGTGTTAATCATAAGATCATTCCAAGTGACAATGATCCAGTGGCAAGTTCATCTGATGTAGTAACTTAGTAGCTACCTCATGGTTAACACTGAAAGATTTTCTTGTCTTTATTTCCATATAGAGTTATTGATTTCTACAGTGTCCTTTCTTTCTATCCTCAAATACCATTTTTCAGATGATACCAGGAAGTTAAAAATCTTTCTAGAAAGAGTAATGTTCACCTTTCTTCGCTGAAATGAGTTTTTAATGCAAGATTATTCTAAGAAGGATATAAGATGTACCCTAAAATTTCCCTTACCCCCCAAAAAGGGATGTTCTATAAGGGAAAATTGACAAGTACATATATTAGGATCTCAATTTTGGAGAGTCATTCAGCTGTCATGTGGGTCATGCTTGTGTTAGAGATTGATACAAGTGTCATACAATAAGAAATCATGAACTTTGGAGTCAAATCCTGGCAATGCCATTTGCTGGCTGTGCCATTTGCTGGCTGTGTTTATTTTATTTATATGTTTATATATATTTAACCTCTCTGATTCAGCTTTCTCATATGTAAATGTTAAAGACCTTAATCTGTTTGAAAATTAAATGAGATACTTAAGCATTTGACTCAGTACCTGGCACATAGTAGATACAGAATAAATGTTGACTATTTTTCCCGAGATAAGCATATTTCATTTTTTTAGGTTTTGCCCCTAATTGCTATAGAAAATACCAAATTATCAAATATTGAAGACATTATAAAGATTATGAAGTCTTGTAACACTTTTATATTTATGGTACCCCTACTCTTAACTCCATTATTGAGTTGATCATTGAAAGTCCCTTGGGACTTCTGCTCTCCTTTTTCATTCCAAAACGTAGATCTCATCAGCCTCTTTTTTAGCGGTTTATTAGCCTAAAAGGCAATCTGTTTAGAATAAAGAGCAGCCAATAGCTAACAGTTAGTGTCCATTCCTACCCCTTTTATACTTTTCGGCACCTCTGCCCTACATACACCTCAGTTTTTGTCCCTTCCATTACTAGAACTAGTGATTTCTGCCCTTAAGGACATTTCCTCACATCCTATGAAAAGGACCTCTATCCTGTTTCAGCCTGAGATGGGGAATAACATGGGAAACACACATGTTCACATAAAAAGACAGGAAAAACTTACGGAAACTTTTCCCCCAAATTTCCCAGTGGGGATGCGAAGACCCTTTCCTTTTTACCTTTCCTGAACGGCAAATAAGATTTTCACAGATATCAGAAACTGACATTTTTATCACAGTATCACAGATATAAGAAATAGCTGACAGGGGTGCCTGGGTGGCTCAGTGGGTTGAGCGTCTGCCTTTGGCTCAGGTCATGATCCCAGGGTCCTGGCATCATGCCCCACATCAGGCTCCCTGCTCAGTGAGGAAGCTGCTTCTCCCTCTCCCTCTGCCCCATCCCCCACTCATGCTCCCTCTTTGTCTCAAATAAATAAAATCTTAAAAAAAAATAGCTGACAAGTTTCTGATCCATGATCTTTTCCTGTTATTTTAGCCACTAGTGGTCATATTTAATTCTACCATGTAAAGATTAAAAGTTATATTAAGTAAAATGGCCACTTGCTGTAATTTAGGACTTTTGCACATTAAATTTTCATTTAAGTGGGGCATTTTATGCATCTACTAAAATGTACAATATATGTAAATCAAACTAACACGCTGTATACCTTAAACTTATATAGTGATCTATGTCAATTATTTCTCAATAAAACTAAGAAAAAAATATTTACCAAAAATTATCCTTCTCTGTAAAAGACTCTATAGAATCAATATGCCATACAGGGAAATCACTTGAAAATTCTCATTGTTAGTGAGTGGCTTTATCTGCTGATGGAAATCTTGTATTGCATAAAGCATTGGCATATGACCATGAAAGCACTGATAGAGAATTGGTGGAAAATCCTCCTTGTGGGTAAATAGGTACCACCCTCCTATACATATACTGACCACAGTATCCAAAAATGAAAGGCCAGAAACAGCAGTGCTGGCAGTCAGAGGGGGTTGTCCTAAGTTCTTCAGTCTTTCAGATAGGTTTTGTAGAAAACCTACCATCTATATAATGAGTCTTTATGCTTTCTCTGGATTTGATGCGTTCTCTGTCTACAGGTATCCAGAGCTTTCCATAGATGCCTTGGTAATGTACTGACAAAAAGAGCCTGGGAGTTCACTTTTTTATCTAGCCTGTGATTACAGCTCTTAAAGCAGAGCATCTGTGAGAGCTGCCAAAATAAAGACATACTCCTCATGTGGCTGTTCCAACCAGTCATGCCTCGACATATATCTGGAGAGTGTCAGACACAAGGCTTTTTGTCGGTTTCTTGTCTTGTTTTCATGGCATTACTGAAGGACATGTTTTTCTCTTAGCTTTACCTTTGGTATCTAATAGCTCCTGTTTGCTTCCCTGAGAGACTGCGCACACTCAACCCAGTTGTGAGTTCCTGCATCTCTTCTAAGCGAAAGTGCTACTCTCCAAGTATAGTAAGAATAAGTTATGATTCATGAGGAGCACTGCTCCACTCCTTTCCAAGTTGTGTAATAGATTTAAAATATGTGACTTATAGATCCACAATCTCTCATCAAAAGCCTTCAGGTCAGATGCTTTTTTTTTTAAGATTTTATTTATTTATTCGAGAGAGAGAGAATGAGAGATAGCACGAGAGGGAAGAGGGTCAGAGGGAGAAGCAGACTCCCCGCCGAGCAGGGAGCCCAATGTGGGACTCGATCCCGGGACTCCAGGATCATGACCTGAGCCGAAGGCAGTCACTTAACCAACTGAGCCATCCAGGCACCCTCAGATGCGTTTTCAAAACTTAAAATTTTTCGGTGCTTGCTTCAGCAGCACATACACTAAAATTGGAACGATACAGAGAAGTTGAGCAGGGCCCCTGTGCAAGGATGACACACAGATTCATGAAGCCTTCCATATTTTTTAAAAATAAATAAAATGGGGTGCCTGGGTGGCTCAGTTGGTTAAGCGACTGCCTTCGGCTCAGGTCATGATCCCGGAGTCCTGGGATCGAGTCCCA